CCTATCGATTGATTGATTTATTCATTTCATGGTTTCTCGAAGATTTGAGATTCTTGCATTGGTAAGAACTGGGACCGTTATTTTGATTCGAATGGACTTTTTGACTTCTCATCGTCAGTTTGACCTATGGGTGATATAAGCGACGTGTTGGTAACAGATGGAATCGTATTATGCAGTAATTTCTGCATTAACGACTTGCTGAATGCACATGCTTTAGTGCTACAACTGATTGTGCAATATTACTCTCATCAAGGATGTGAAAATTGATAAATTTTGTTGAATAATTGCTGTGCCAAAATTAGATGTATTGATTGATTGCAGCAATACTCATTTGCAAAAAACGAAATCACCTTCAAGTGATAAACATAAGATGGTACCAAATTCAATACGAAATAATCAGACTTATCGAAGTACGATATTTGATGTGTTCAACTGTTTTTTGCGGAGATGTTAATGCTAATCAATGATTAATTACTTATAGGTTCCGTGGCGATGGAGAAGCTGGTACCGATTAGACGTTTTACGATGCGGTAGAGCAAAATCGTCTCGATTTTTTAGTTATTTCGATGATGGATGAGTTCCGCATTCTAGTTTTACACGATTGGTTCGAGTTCCGAAGAAATTTTAATCGGTGTTACAGGGAACTGTGTAAATCACAGCAGGGTTGCTGAATCAGATTCCATCAGTCTTAAAAGTGAGAGCTGATTTCAGAATGAGACAATCCACATGTGATTGATCATGATTTCTTTTGAGGATGTCGTGAAAAATAGCATGGTAAACGAAATCATAGAGCATGCAAAAATTTAAATGTTTTCCACTTTGCTTTGACTTTCGTTATTCATTCATATGTGCAGTGTCCGTATACTGGCATTCGTCAATTAAATGGTAATGAAGTTAAGAGATCGGCTCTGTGAATTTGCTGCGATGAAAACAGATCGAAGAATGGAAATTTTCTGCAAAAACTGAATCTCATGGAAGTTCGATTTCAACTGTACACCGAAATTCTGGAACAATTATCAAAACGGCAGAATTAGGATGTTCAACTCGATGTAGTTGAAGTACCTGTAATAGATTTTATCAGATAATAAATTTGGTGTAACTGATCAGTCCTAGGCCAGATTGTGGCTTGAAAGGCTCATGTTTCAAATGTCTGGTTCTTGACGTATCAATAACGCTGATCGTGAGAAATGGTAACGAAGTTAAAAGATGTGACTACATCGATGTGTGCCTTCAATTCAATATACGGTGGCATCGATCTATGACTTCAAGATATGACTTCAGTCTACGATATGACTACATTGATCTCTAGAATGAGGCCATAGACGATGTGTCCTTTCATCAATCAGCCGCATCTAAACCTCACCCAAATCTACTGTTGAACCTCATCCGCTCCGAGTTAAAAGGAGGGTTGGGCTCGAGCCTGAACCTGGTGCACCTCATAATCTACTGTCAGTATAATACATCGAGTGACGAAGAGACGCCTAGATCAAAAGTCGCACCAAATGTTCAAAGTCGACGATATGGTTCGTAGCCAACACACGGTTCCAGTGAATTGTCATCTTATACGCAATGCTTGAAGAGGGGGATTGTGATTGAAGCAGAACTGAATGCAGTTAAATTGGAATGTTATGCAAACCTTGTTGAGTGATCGTTGATGATGTACTGATACGTCTACGCAATGATTGTGGCGGATTTTGTTGAGGGATAGCTTGAGATGGATGGTAGTGTTTATTATCTGAGGAATGATTCGTTATGCTGTTGTTGTTCTTAACGGTATTGTTAGTTCTGTTAGCGGTTGGGTTGCTTGTGTTCGACGTGTTGAAAGGATTCGTTGCGCTTGCAGAGGATGCTGACGGTGCACCGCTGCTGTTCGCTGATGACGATATCGACGAGCTTACAACACTCGGGTCATACAGACCCAAAAAATCTTGTAAACCAGTGAAAAATTTCATAGACATGTGGTGGTGGTGTGGTGAAGAAAAGATCGACACGGGACAGTGACCACGGAAAATGAGCAGCTTCACTTATCACGGCGGAATGGAGTACAGTAACTGCTGATTGTGAATTGCGAACACTTTTCTCATGCACTTTCTTCGTTCCTGCTGCTGCTGCTTCACGTATTGATTTGAATGAATAGCTGATAGCAGTGATTGCTGCTTGCTTGTGAACGAATCAATTCTCGATCAATTACAATCGAAAATTTCCATACAATCGCGTCAACAACAACAACTTCTTTCACAGTACAGCATCTATGTACAACACAATTAGTTTATTCACTCAAAAAATTTGTACTTCAGTTCGAAATTCCAATTCAGCAAGGATCAATTATCGACGATTAGAACTCTGAATTTCGATATATGACAATATGTAACTAATAATAACAATATAGATAGATGTAAGATTACTTCTTCGTGGGTAATCTCAACAGATCAAACGAATCAACTCTCTTACTTAAAGAGATTCAGAGTCGATAGCGACGAATACAGTGATAACGATAATAAAGACGGTGATATCAATGTTACGGCTAACAACATCCACTATCAGCCGTAAACGTTTACCCTCAAGCAGTAAACGTTCATCAAAATATATGTATATGGCAGTGACGACGCACGTTGGTCCGTGAGTAGTAACAATAATGAAGGCAGCTACTTCAGAATCAGCATCGAGTGACAGCCAGCTGAGTTAAATCGCTGTCTCACGGTTTTTTTCATTTGAAAACTTTGTTCACTTCCCCGTTTAGCACTTCGTCGTATATTCGCCGCACACATTCATTCCTCTTCTTGCTCTCTGCTCATTGCATTCAATAATGATTATTCACGCGACGCGCGTTTCTCTGTCAACAACTAGTATCAATCATTCGTGAACACTCCGCCAAATATCAACTCTCCAATTATTTTCACTCTCGAATGTTATCCGCATTTATCTGCTCTCGTTTTTGTCAGCAAAGCCATCGTTATCAACGTTAACATATACGGCTCCATGAAACAAAAGATCAAAATCGAAGTATTTTGCATCTGAATTTCGAGTTAGTAGGAATAAACCGTAAAATGGTATATGAAGAGCGTAAAGCAGAAAATGCAAAAGCATAGAGTGCAGCTTCGACTGAGATCTGCTGGAAAAGATGTTGATGATGATGGTAAGTAACGGCTTCAGGGGTGAATCATCGGAAATGAGAGTGAATGACCGGAAATAAGAGCAACAAACTGTACTGTTATTGATCTGGGTTCACACAGTAAATTCAGTAGCAGTGTTCAACTTATGTGTATGTCGTGTTCGAAGTGAACACTAATATTTCTGATTAGAGTTACGAGTCCAGGAGTACCAAATGAGTGTCTTAAATTTCAAACGAATACAGTAATGCGCCACAAGGCAGTAATTTGACAGATATTCTGGATGAACGCAAGCAGCATTATCCACTATTCCTACTGACTGATGAGCGGTAAAATGTTCTTGTAAGAAACGCAAATATTTGGTATGCAAAAAGTTCTTGGGCAGTTACAGAAATCTTCCATTACAAGAGTTGACGAACGTAGCTACCCGGGAACTTTCTGTCACACCTAATACAATGAGCAAGCTGTCAACACGCCTGCTCTAATGTAAGATCAAAAATGAATTTCTGAAAAGCAACAACGACACATCAATGCAGATAACGTTTTCTTGGAGCCTATCGTTTAACATCACTCACAGATTTTCCCTTCTTGACCGATTTCTCGTTACAAATACCGAAAGACGGTCCAAGACTGTTGTGATTTTCTGCTGGAAATTCGTCTTCGAATTCTTTGCAGTTTGTTATCCCTTGTTAACGTTTCCCAGGATTGAAATTCAGTTCTCGAATTCATTGAAATTTCCCTCATGCAATTGCTCCACTACAATTGGAACTGTTCATTATTCTCAAGTGCAGAATCACCATAAAATTTGTGAAAGTGCTCAAATCATTGCTGATATATGAAGGGACCCCTGGGTATGTTGAACGAGAGGATTTCTTGAAGTGAATGATGGACGGTTGATTCGAAGATGCTCAGCTCTTCGCTGTGATTCAGTCATTCTAAACGCGTGCAAGAATGAAGAGCCAGAAACAAAGAGAAGATTTACTCGGCACCTTTTGACTTTGCAGTGATAATAGCAGCAATTTTTAACTAGATCAAATTCGTATCAACAAATTAATAGACGTTGACTGGGAAATCTAATGCCTTGTTGCTCTAACATAAGAGCATGGCATCGAGTCTTTAATGTATCGCTTTCTACAGCAATTCAAATGTTGCCCTAACGGTATAAAATGAAACTATATTGCACCATCGAGCAGTAAGTATGTTTTGTGAAATTTCGTTGAACAGCATTTCGAGAAAAAGCGTTTTTAATTTTGGAATATACCGCACAGGTAATTTGAAGAGATCAAATGCTCGGAGGTGATGCGTAAAACTTTTAAAGTGAATCCTGCAGAAATTGCTCGAAATTATTCACCAAGAACAATCCAAAACATACTCATGACAAGTTGTGAAAATTTCTATCACTTGAATAATTCCCATTATATAA